TGCACTCATTTATGTCCCATTAATGCATGTTACTAACTTCACTTCTTCCCCGGAGTTCCCCTAATCCTAAGGCCTACATAAATGAGTATGAAAAACCCCTAAATGAAAATATTTAAACTCAAAAACCTTTCTGTGGCACATTAGTAAAGCAATAAATAGAAATATCCAAAGGTGGCATTACAATACATTGTTTTGACATTTTTCTATAAAATACATGTATTTTTTTATTGAACAAAAGCCTATCACCTAATTTAGAATGTGGTCATAACATCAATTTCAACACATTACTTTTAAGATTCAGACAAATTAATGTATTCAATTTGACAGCTTTTAACATCAAACCGGGGTGGCCACCCAATGCTACCCATCTACCTCCGCCCCTGTAAATAAACTCATATGCTTCCAGCATAAAACATCACTTTTGAACGGAATTGTAGGCATGTTTGTGGTATCATACATCATCATTACTGAAGCCTATCTATGGCCTATAGCCTATCTATTTATATGCAAACCCAGCTTTGGCCCAGTAAATACAGTGTCAGCACAGTAACAGTAGTATTGTAGGTGTGGAGGGATTTGACCTGTGCGTTTTGCCTAAGTTGAGGGTCCAAAGTATTGCACAGACGCAGCCATTCATCTGTATCATACAGAATTCCCCAAAAATATTTTTATAGTTTTAATCAATCAATTAATCAATGGAGCAATAATATTTCTTTAGACCACAAATTAAATTACCCAATCACTATAATTACTCTAAAACATATATTCTAATGTTAAGCAAACTTAAGTTCTTGTTTCACACAACAAGGCTTTTAGATTTTTCTGTTAAGAAGCTTCTCATGTCATCATTGATACAGTGTCATTTCGATTATGCATGTTCTGCTTGGTACAGTGGTTTGACAGCTAAACATAGGAACAAACTGCAGGTGTTGCAAAATAATACCATTCTGTACTCATAAATGCATCTCCTCAGAGAGTAGAACAACAGAAGCTGCACCATATGTACAATATTATCAGTATTTTCCTCAATACATATGTGTTCTCAGATAACAATGATCCATACTCAGCATCATTATAATACCAGGGCCAGTGTGAATTCAAACAAAGTACCTCGAGTGAATAATGTAGCCAAAAGCTCCTTTTTTGTCTTGTTGTGGAACGGCCTTCAGGTTAGCAGTTTTTTGTCGAACACAGTAACAGATTGATAAATTAAACGTTATTTTAGCTGTTCTTGTTTTTTAGTAGAGGCATTTTAGATTTTTTGGAATGTGCCTGTGGATTTCAGGACTATGTTGTTGTTTATGTTGAATGTCTTGTGTTTCTTTGTTTTCTTTTGTCTTCTAACATCTTGGGACTGTGTTGGAATTAATTGTTTTCACTTCATGTTATCTTTTGATTTTTCTTGTTATTTATTTTCCTGTCTGATAATCCATGAATAAAATCAATCAATCAATCTTATAATATTCATGTGTTTTTTTATGTTTCTCAAATTTAATGTGAAAATGTTTTGCTCCTCGCTTTGGACAAAACAATTAGTGAACTGTGGAAACTAGATGTTTGGTTCTTATCTTGGTTAGAGTGCTCTCGAACACTCTCTTACCTAAGAGAAGAGCAAAAGTAAGAAAACATTTATGGATATGAACAAAAATAAAATAAAACGTGTTCTCATAAGGCTTTATTATGGAAGTCCATGTCCATGTGATGGGGAAAAGGATTCCGTATGGCATTATAATGAGAAACTTTCTCAAAATATTGACTTAGTATGTCAAAATAATGAAAACATTTCTCAACATTTTGACTTGGTATCTCAAAATAATGCCTTTGTGATACAAACTCATTATTTTATTTTGAGATGCTAAGTCAATATTTTGACAAGGTTTCTCATTATACAGAGTTACAGAAGCTTTTTTTCGTTACATTGGAGGGAATGGGCTTCCATACTTCCATGAGCGGGTAATGACAGTGCCCCCACGCGCTCATACAAAGCTCCCCGCTCGCGTGTCTCTGCTGACAGTGTGCGGCCGCGCGCTGTCATTACAGCTACCAGCACACAGTAAACAACCCGACGTCACTTCCGCTTTCAGGTTGACAGCAAAACAACAGAAGCAGGAGCGATAAAAACATCACAAACCAAGGAAACATTTGTGGAAAGCAGCTACTGTAACAGAATGAAGGTAAGAGAGAGTGCTTGGTTTATTTCAGCCGCTAATGGCGACCGCTGAGACAAGGCGCTGTGCTGTGACACAGCTGGGGTTCAGTAACGGTACCAGTCTGTCAATAAACACAATAGCAGCTATGGAAAGTCACAACATATCCGTGTACGTTTTTTATATAGCCCCACACAAGCTGCAGTTTTGCATATGCCGTCAAAAGCGAGCTGACGTTATGATAATAATATGATGTAAAATTAACTGTTGTACTGTACTGTAAAATATGAGTGTGCTGTTCATACACAGCTTAACTGCGAGCACACAGTCTATTGCGTGCAGTAGTTCAGCAGGGTGACAGATAGTGTGACAGTAATATCAGATGGATGAATTTGTCCTCTTGTTGTGATAATAAAATGATGAGGATGATGGAACAGTTTCCCTGAGAGGCTGGAGTGTTGTCCTGAGAAATCATTTAAAGCTGCAGTAGGTCATTTTTATAAAAATATTTTTTGTCATATAAACTGAAACTTTCACTATATCCTGACAGTAGGACATGAGACAGATAATCTGTGAAACAAATCAGGTTCCTCTGGCTCCTCCTAGTGCTCCTAATGGCATTTAAAAGAATCCACTGGGCCTGAAGGAAAACAACCAGTCAGAGCCAAGAAAGATAGTTGATTGTGGGGTCTCATTCCCAGGTCGTCAAATACCAATAATTTGGATCAAAAATTAACATTAACATATATTCTAATGCATTACTACCAGCAGTGACAGTTACAGCATATATATAGTTGTTGTTTTTTTACTTACTCAATGCAGCTACATTACCTTAAACTTACTTTGGATATACACAAGTTAAGGACTGCCGTCCTAGGAATGTCTTTTTATTGCCACTTTTCCAACTGTCACATTCAGGAAATAGTTGGCTATATTGTTTTTTCTTTTCTTTTCTTTTTTTCTTTCTTTCTTTAAATCTGTGAATCTGTAAAAGTGTGAAATTGTAATAGCTAAATAGGATTTTTATTGTTTATATTGTTTATTATTTAATCGTTTCTTTGGCCAGAGGCATCGTTTTTTTTGGATGGGGGGGGCCCATATTGGATAACATATATACTGATACAGTACTGATATGTCTGCAATAGGCCAGTTTCAGCTGATAATATAAAAAAAAACCCCACTGACTTCGAGGTGAAGGAACCGTACTCACTCATACCTGCAGCACCGTATGGAGCATTATGGAGATAATGCAGTGTTCCTGTAACTTTGAAAAAAACATGAAAAAATGTGTCAATCCATGTGTGAAAGTCAAAAGTTTTGTGAGCAGTTTAAACATTGACAGTATATATAATGGACAGAGCTTCTGGGTCTGTAAAGTGAAGCCAGTGAAGTTTTTTTAAACCTGCATTTTTTCTAATGGCCAGCAAGGGGTAGCTCCATGGGCAAGTCAGATATAATTAAGTTTAATGGAGAAATTTGCCGACTTCTGACTTGATTTATTGGCTCAGTAAACCATGTTTCCTGATGAGTTTTATGGTCTAAGTCTCTAGTTTCAGTCTTCTTCTATATAGCATGATGTCGTTTAGTAGATTATGGTCTTATTTAGAGTAAAAGCAGGGTATGCTTTGCTTGGTTACCTTGTGATTGACAGGTCATTCTCAGTGAGTCGAACTCAGATCAAACTGTCAAACTAGGCAGTGCTGATAAAATATGAATCAAGATTCTGTATTACTGGCATGGCAACATTAATTTAAAAAACTCTCTGTGTCTCTTTCAAGAAACTCAGGAATAGCTGCACACTTTGCTGTGGACTGCTTCTTTTGGAACCATTTATTCTTCAGTAAATTATTCCACTTTTCTAATAACTATTTGCACTTTATAATATGAACAGTTCATGCTGTCTTTCAGGTGCTGAGTTCACAGCAGGAGACAGAGGAGGAGAGCGGCTTATCTCCTGTAGACTGCAACAACCACCACAGCTATGAGGACAGAGAACAGGAGGAAGTTCCCCAATACCACCAAGAGGAACATCCACATGGTGAGGAACCACATGATGCTAATAATGTTTCATCTTCACATAATGTCACTGTTTACTGTCCACACCACTGGTGCAAAGTCAAAGATTTGAAAAGAAAGGAAAAGAAAGTGTCCATCCAATTTAGATGAATGGGTGTTTGACCACTAAGCATCATCGATGGAAACGCAGAGTCCGATTTATGAGGGGCCGTCAGGGACATTATTCAGAATTACCTCTCACACACACTACTGAAACGCTCTCACACACACTACTGAAACGCTCTCACACACACTACTGAAACGCTCTCACACACACTACTGAAACGCATCCGCTCTCACACACACCTACTGAACGCTCTCATAATACACTAATGAAAGCTCTCACACAACTACTGATAACGCTATCCATATACACTCTGAAAAGCTCTCACACACACTACGTGAAACCGGCTCTCAAAAACACACTACCTGAAACGCTCTAAACACACAATAATGAATGATCAGTAGTGGCACGTGCAGGAAAGCTGCATGCTGCCTGTTACATAACTCCAGCCTTTGATTTGCCTTTTTTAACCTTCTTAACTTTTATTCTCTTTTTGTTCGTTCTTATTTTTTTCACTGTAACTCTCCTGAAGGTCCTGCCCTCCCCTCTAAACGATGTTGTTTGAGAGAGTTGTTGTGTTTTATTTCTGTTTTAATGCTGCTTCCCACCGGGACATCTAGGGTGGCCAATTTCCTGTCAACATCAAAAAGGAGGACACTTTACATACACCAGGGACACGCAAGCCAGATATTTGTTTTGGTATGATCCTATTTTAATTTTAATATGATTTTCCACCAGATTTACCATAAATGTGCATACAACATACAACATATCTAATAATAAATATATACAAGATAACAGCTCTGACAAACTGCCCTTCCAACTCCAGATTACATTAGGTCTAAATAAACATCATACAGAGAAACTGTTCTTAATGTTTTTTATCTGGATAGTAAAGGGTAAAAAAAATACAGCACCTTCTGTTTCAGAATGTTCAGGCCCTTGCCTAGGCTCTGCCTTATACATATGAGTATGAGCATTTTCGAATTTTCCAGTTTCCAACAACTGGACTTTTAGCTAACCTGAAGGTTGGGATGTTTGCCTTCAAGCACATGCTCATTTGAATTATTAAAAATTAGCCATGTGTTTTGATAGGTTCCAGAAAAATGTATCAAAAAATAAATTTACTTATTTGACCAGCTTTAGGGATATTATTCAGAATTACCTCTCACAAACACATGTGAAATGCTCTTACATACACTACTGAAACACTCTTCACATAAACAACTGAAAAATTAATTCGCTCGCCTACACTACTGAAACGCTCTCACACATTACAAGTGAAACGCTGCTTATATACACTACTGAAAAGCTCTCATACATACAAGTGGGTGAAATTGCTTCACACACAACTAACTGAAACGCCTTCAACGCAACACTTAATACTGAACGCTCTCACATACACTACTGAAAGCTCTGTCACGCTAACAAACTTTACTGAAAACGGCTCTCACGCTAGACAACTAACTGAAACGCTCTCACAACAAACAACTTTTGCCATCGCTGTGTGAATGATGTGGTGAAAGGGTGAAGAAATGTGGCAAGGCGTAGTGTAAAATGGCGCTTTGATGTGGTTCGGAAGAGCTAGGAAAGGCGCTTATACAAGAGTACAGGTCCTAAATTTACTCATTTACTTGAAACGAAAAAAATCTTCAACAGAACTACTGAGACGGCTGTCACACAACATATGAAAACGCTCTGCACACAACACTACTGAGACGCTCTCATATTACACTACTGAAACGGCTCTCACAGCAAACAACTGAAAAACACTCACACATACAACTGAAACACGTCTTAATATACATTAAGATGAATCAGTAGTGGGCGCGTTGGGCAGGAAAGAGCTGCATATGCTAGGCCTGTTACATTAGCTGCCAGCCTGTTTGAGTTTGGCTTTTTTTATAACTTCTTTAACTTTTTATTCTCTATTTTTGTTCGTTCTTATTTTTTCAAAATGGTAAAGCTCTCTGAAGTCGTGTCTCTATACGATGGTTGTTGTGAGAGGTGAGTTTGTTTGTGTTGTTATTTTTCTGTTTTTAATGGTGGCTTCCACCGGGACAACTAAAGGGTTGGCCATTTCCTTCACATCAAAAAGGTAGAAACAACTTTGCATAACACAGGGACACGGCAAGCAGATAGTTTTGTTTGGTATGGATCCTATTTTTATATTTTAATATGATTATTTCCACCAGAAATTAATAAAGGGTGCAAATACGACATACAACAATAGAACTAATAATAATAAATATATATAAAGATTACAGCTCATGACAACGTGACACCTTCCAAAACTCAGTATTCATAGGGTTAATAATAAACAATACATAATACAGAAACATGTATTCTTAAATGTTATTTGTATTATCTGGTTAGATAAATAGGGGTTAAAGAAAAAAATACAGAGCACGTTTCTGAAAAATTTTTTTTTTTTTTAAAAAAGAATGTTCAGGCTTTGACTTTACATATGAACTAGGACTGCATAGCTAATGCGCGGCAGGCATAAGTGGAACAAACAGCGACTGTTCTAATGCTATGAACCTATTCATGTATCTTTCAGCTGATATAAAGCTTTTCTGTACAAATTTTACAAAATATAGTGTTTACACTTAATATTCTAGGATTTGATACTGTTACACCAGTACAGATAACTATACAGTGTTCTCTCGGATTCTCGAATAACAGTGCGATTATTAGTGTGTTATCTTAAACGTATAGATATAGTATAGTGTAATGTCTAGCGTTAAAGAACATTGATCTTCATCACTTTAATACAAGTAGTGAATAATTAAATGTCATGCACAATTGTATCATATAAAACTGTTAATAGTATCAATACACACTTACTATAATAGATATATGGTCATGATTTATTATAAAAGCTTAAATTTAATAACTCATTCTTGAATACATGTTGATTGAAAAGAAAACAAATGATTGTTCCATATGCTGAATGGAATAAACAATGTGTCTAGTCTATGGATCATCCGAGGAAACAGGACAAAATTATCCATCTGAACGGGCAATATTATGTGATTCACTTTACAACATCGCACACGAGTTCCTGCACACCTGTAATTCACAGAACCACTAAATTTATATCTTCTCTCTCTTTTGTATTAAATGCTAAACGGTACCAATAAATTCAGTGGCGCATACCTATGCTAGTACCTCACTCTTTTTGGACATGTCCAGCTCCGTGAGGCAACTTACAAGTGGCGTTCACGCACGATAAATATAGCGCAAAGAAATATACTTTGAAATACGCTGGTATGTGTTATATTGTATATTTACTTCCGCAAGGTGAAATTTTATGATTTTAAAGACTCATTAATCCTTTTGGTCATTGGGCGCTAATACAACATAGATTATAGACCACCTCCTTAGTCATTAATTTGGTGGTAAATATTATAGTGTATTTGGTACATTGGCAATAGTACACTAGTTGTTGTGTCAGTTTACTGGATGATCTGAATGATATTTAGTCAAATCTGGAGTCAGAATTACTTGGATTGGGAAAAAAGTAGTTGTATGATAAATAGGCTTAGTGCATTTGTTATGCCATATTGAATGAAGTCTTGGTAAGGTAATTGTGTGTGAAACAAACCGGCAGTAAGTGATATACAATGGTGAAGCTGTGGTGGGTGGTGTGGTGGCAATTTCTAATATGAATTCTGTTGATTACTGTCCTCTTCCGACTATTTTTAATTTTCTGGAGAAACAGGTGGGCAATAACATTCATAATGGAGGGGCCCTGTCATACTGGTGGCCATACGAACTGTGATTATCGCCACTCGAACTTTCATTTGAGTCCAGCTCAAGTGAATAAATCCTAGACCTCTCGAGCCCAATTGGAGAATGGTAGTTTCACTCATAGCTTGCGCAGTTCCCATCATGAGTAATGAGAGTCAGGTTAAGCACTTGCAGGCTGTTAGGTTCAGACAATTCAGTGTTAAGCGAACAGACTGTGGCTGGACGATCAACACGTGGAATCGCGCTGTCAAGTGCACATGTTTGTTGAACCGAACGGCCCTTCCGGTTTTACTGGAAAGAACACCTTCCGATTGGTGACCGGACAGTGCCATATCCAATCTCACACCCTACTGAGAGATACCTCCACACAACACAGTGAA